GTGACTCAGGTGGTTAAACACCTGTCTCCGCTTAGGTCATGATCTCCAGGTTCTGGGACTGAGCCCTGTATCAGGCTTCCTGCTCAGTGGGGAGTCTGCTTCTCCATCAATCTCTTACCCTCCCACCCTCCCCACCCCCACCTTGTGGGAACACACTCTCTCCTAAATAAATAGAATCTTAAAAAAAAACAAAAACTATATAGACCTGGGGTGCCTGGGTGGCTCAGTGGGTTAAAGCCTCTGCTTTTGGCTCAGGTCATGATCCTAGGGTCCTGGGATCGAGCCTGCATCGGGCTCTCTGCTCAGTGAGGAACTTGCTTCCTCCTCTCTCCTCTCTCTCTGCCTGCCTCTCTGCCTACTTGTGATCTCTGTCAAAAAAAAAAAAAATCCTTAAAAAAACCCCAAAACTATATAGACCTATCTCATGTCTTCTGTCAACTGTGTAACATTCCACTAGACCTATGTGAAGGATGCCTTTATCAATTCACGCAACAGAACTGCCTCCAGTGTCTGTTAGAATAGATCCTGTTCTGGCACTGGAGATACAAAAGTGAACAAAGCAAAGTCCTTGACCTGATAGAGTTTACATTTCAGTAGTAGGAGGAGAGGAGTCAGACGAAGAAGTAAATTATAGCAGGTCAGCTGAAGGGAAGACTAAGGAGAAAAGGTAGGACACAGAACCTAGACACTGTGCAGGGTGGGCAGGGAGGAGTTGCTCTTTTCTACAGTGTAGTTAGGGTACGCCTCTCTAACAGGGTAAACTGAAGCAGAGACTAGAGACCTGAGAGCACAGGGCACGGTTACTTACTATGTGGGAGAAGAATGTTAAGGCACAGGCAACACCAAGTGCAAAGGCCCTGGGGTGAGAACATGCCAGGTAGCATCTGAGGAGGCAAGGCAGCCAGTGTAGATGGAATCCAGTAGGGAAGGGAGAGGGCGGTAAGAGACGGCACAACAGGGAGAACAGCCCACGCAAGGCTTTAATGTGCCATTTTCAGCACTTTTGAGCAGGCATGACTACATCACTCTCATCTGCTGAGAACAGATTAAAAGGAAACAAAGGTTGGAGAAAAGAATCCAGCTGGGAGGCTAGTACCACAATTTCAGTGGGAGAACATGGTTTAGTTCAAGTAGTAGAGGAGGGGGTAGAAGCGGTAGCATTCTGAACATATTCTTAACAGTAAGATTTGCTGATGGATTTGTAATTGGGATAAAAAATAAAGAGACAAGACAAGAATGACTCCACAGTTTTTAAACAGCTAGAAGGAGAGTTGACAGTCACCGAGATGTGGTAGGATACGGAAGAAATGGGTTTGGAGCAGGGAAACAAAATGAAGAACTCAGTTTTGGACATATTAGATTTGATATGCTTATTAGACATAAAGAAGGGCAGCTGGGTGGGTCATCAGTTAAGCGGCTGCCTTCAGCTCAGGTCATGATCACAAGGTCCTGGGATCGAGCCCCACGTTGGGCTGTCTGTCCAGTGGGGAGCCTGCCTCTCCCTCTCCCTCTGACTGCCGCTCCCCTTGCTTTTGCGCCCGCCCTCTCTCTGCCAAATGAATAACTAAAATCTTAGGGGGAGAAGAAAAAAGACATGAAGAGAAGACTAATGGCAACTGACTACATAGGTTTGGAATTCGGGCAGGGCTCTGGGCTGGAGATACAAACTTGGAGATGTTCTGCATATGGGTGATAACTAAAGCTAAGGAACGAAGTGAGATTACATAGAGAATAAAGGTAGACGAAAGTCTGAAGACTGAGCCCTGGGGCACTCCACTATTTAGTGGTCTGGGAAATGCGGAAGAACCAAAAGAATGGGAGCCAAGAGAAGGACGCGTGCTTGGAGAAGGGAGTCATCAACTGTGGCTTTTGAATCACACCGGACAGTTAAGTTCTGAGAATGATCTCCCGGGTTAGCAGCGCGGAGGTCACAGATAACCTTGTTCCAAGCTCCTCTGAAACACTGGTAAAGGGAAAATGCTTCCAATTTTTGCAATTATAAACAATACAATAAACATCTTTGTATACTTTATGGGAATGCAGTTTCTGGGCCCCAGGATACGTCAATTTAACACTCAAATACATTACCAACTTGTCTGAAGTGACTGCCAACTCAAGAGTCAGTGTAAAACTTCCATGCGCGGCTAAACTATACCCTACAGTGAGAACTGTCAAACCTATCCACACCTGACACTCTGACAGGTCAAAAGAATTACCTTCTTATATTTTGCATTTCTCCATGCTTGAAGTTAAGCATTTTTCATGTTATTAGTCATCTGTCTTTTTCCCCCTCTGTGAAACTGTCCGCTCATAGCTTTTGCCTATTTTTTTGGAAACTGCTTATCTTTATTTATTCAAAGCATTTCTTATACATTAATGTTAACTCTTTTGCTTTCTTCTTTCTCTGTATTACTAAGCTTATATTCTGGTTGGAACTACAGAGAAGCAGAGAGATTCAGAACGGTACCAAATCATTTAGGCCTTTGCTTTTCATACATTTCCCTGTTCCTTCTTTGAACATGATCATTTTCTTACTCTTTTCTGCCATCTCTCTTCTCCAGGAGAACAATCTGGGTGCAGCATCTGCACCTCCTCCGACAGTCTGAGTGTACTAGCTGATAGGACCGAGCAGGTGGTTATCCGTCTGCACCCATCCCAAGCTTGTATGCCCGTCCGTACCTTTTATGGAAGGCTTGCTCACATCAGAGGACTGAGTTTTGCTGATCAATATCCTGTGCACTTTTTTTTTTTTTTGAAGATGCTATTTATTTATTTGAGAGAGAGGAAGAGAGAGAACAAAAGTGGTGGGGAAGGGCAGAAGCAGAACCAGACTCCTCGCTGGGCAGGGAACCCCACGTGAGGTTCAATCCCAGGATCCCAAGATCATGACCTGAGCCGAAGGCAGACAGTTAACTGACTGAGCCACCCAGGCGCCCCTCCTGTGTACTTAACTATATGCCTGTCACACAGTGGGCATTCAGTATGTATTTGTGCAGTGAACAAAGGGAACTCCCCTCAAGGGAAATGGAGGTAGCTTTTAAGGCAATAGAAGAACATAAGGAGAAATCAACCTCTGATTATGCAAGGTTTTGCATGAGCAAGTTAGATCTAAGATGAAGATTTATTAGTGAATAGTAAACACACAATGTAATTTATATATCACACACAGGCAGGCTTATTCTCTAGAACAATACTATAGAGAACCATGACATTCTCATACAAACTACAGCATAATGCTGTCAGGCTCACGCATAGGATTATAATGGTCAGTTTTCCCAATTTATGTTGTGTTTCTTTGCCACCCACAGATAAAATTATACTGCCTTCACACAAGAAGTCTCTCTGTTCTTTTGATAATTAAAAAATTCTGGGGACACCTGGGTGGCTCATTCGGTTAAGCGTCTGCCTTTAGTTCAGGTCATGAACTCAGGGTCCTGGGATAAAGTCCCACACTGGGCTCCCTGCTCAGCAGAGAGCCTGCTTCTCCCTGTGCCTGGCCCTGCTCTGTTTCTCGCTCTCCCTCTCTCTGAAAAATAAAAAAATAAAATCTTTAAAAAATAATAATAAATAAAATTAAATTAAAAATTCTTTAAGTTTAAAAGTTGTAGTATTTCTTTCTTGACGAAAAGCAATAACCGTAAGAAAGTATTCCAAATAGTGCATGATTCCCTCTCTAATTATTTCATAATTTTTATTTCCTTTCCTTAAGGCATCCACTGTTCTCATGGCCTTTTTGAATATACAACTGTGTGTGGATTAATGACTCAGAATCCACAAAGCAAATAAAGAGGAAATTTAGGTTCTAAGAGAAGAAAATGCACCAGCAGAAGAGAAAGATGTCTGGATCAGTGCTGATGTCAGCTCTGAAAGAGGCCCCTAAAAATGGAAGAATAGGGCAATGAGGCTTTCTTTTGCTTTATATCACCTATGGTCTGCACAGAAGCCAAAAAAAAAAAAAAAAATTAACAGCTTTTGAGTCAAACTGCATCATAATTTGGTAAATACTGATGGGGTCAAATTTTCATATTACTCGAATTCTTGGTTCTTCAAGAAGAGAGAAAGGAGCAAGATGAAAGCAAACCAACGGGTAACCAAATATTCCTGGAGAGAGTAACATTGAAGAGGTGAGGCGAGGCAAGCATATGGGTCACCCAAATACCACCGAGGGGAAGTGACTGGCGAACATGCTACAGAATGCCTGCTTCCGTGCTCAAATTTTACCCACCTTAAGACGGCTTCAAATAACCGATGCCTAGAGTTTGGAGATTTTTTTTTTTTCCAAGACTTTATTTACTTATTTGAGAGAGAGAGAGAGAGAGAGAGAGAGAATGAGAAGGAGAGGTCAGAGGAAGAAGCAGACTTCCCGCAGAGCTGGGAGCCCCTTGCAGGACTTGTTCCCAGGACTCCAGGATCACGACCTGAGTCGAAGGCAGTCGCCCAACCAACTGAGCCACCAGGTGCCCCAGAGATTTTTTTTTGTAATTAAACACATACTTTGGCTATAATGGAATTTGATAGGTACCTTTTTTACTTCCCTGTCAACCTAAAACCGTATTTTCTTTCCCTTAATGTGCTCAGGCTTTTTTTTTTTTTCCCCCAAGGTTTATTTGCTTCTTTAAAAAGAAAAAAAAAAGATTGTTATTTATTTGTCTGAGAGAGTGGGAGCCCGTAAGCAGGGGAGAAAGAGGGACAAGCAGACTCAGTGCTGAGTGCACAGCCCAACATGGGGTCGATCCCACCACCCTGAGATCATAACCTGAGCCAAAACCGAGTCAGATGCCCAACCCACTGAGCCACCCAGGCACCCCTGAGGTGCTCAAACTTTAAGAAAGCAGTCTCTCCCAGTCCCTTGTACCAAGGGAGACTGAGTACAATCACGCTACCTTTAGAAGTCACATAGTCAGAAATGTCATCATCTCTTCGCCAAAATAATTACTCAAACTTCATCAAAGAGCTCCAGGGCAACAAGGATCTGCCATCAGGGCAGCCCCGGTACTCACTGAAACGAAAGTGAAGCAGAGGCCAGCTCCCCTCTGTGCCAGCTGCTCCGTGTCAAGCCGAGGCTTTGCCAGCATCACTGACATCAGGGTGGGCAGAGCGGACTGCTCTTCTGACACCTCCTTCGCAGCACTGCCATCTAAGCCGTAGAGAGGCTGCTCTACTCGCCGCTGGAAAACATTAAAGAAAACACCCAAATTACATGAAAAAGAAAACCTGAAACTGCCAAAACATACAACAAATAAAAACACAGCTATGGAAAGTAAGAGTATTTTTGAAAAACACCTTTTCTGAAAACAAATGTGGAGAGCATAATGACAGTATCACTGGATTATAACCTATCTAACTCTGAGTTAGTATTTTACTCGAATTCTGCAAAATTGCATTTTAATTTTTCTTTGTGTAATTGCATTTGCAGTTTACTTTGTAGAGTTCAACAAATCAACTTCAAAATAGCCTCAAACCTACAAAAGAAATGTTATTTCTATCCTGCAGGTAAATGAAGATTAAGACATTTGTCCCCTAATTTACAGTTTTCACTCTCAATTCTATCCTCACCACACTATACTTAGATGCAAAAATCAAAAAAAATATAAGCAAAACAAGTTCCACTGAACACTGAAAGAATAATATAACACAATTATGTATGGTTTATTCCAGAAATGCAAAAATGGTTCATTATTAGCAAATCTACTGATATAATTCATTACATTAATGGTGGGGGAAGGGGAATCAAGGTTCTTCCCTTTAGATGCCAAAAAAGATTTGCAAACTATCGAGCAACTCTTAAAAAACAAAAACAAAAACAAAAACCACAGGAAGTATCCATCTTTAATACAATAGAGTATTTTTTCAGAAATCAACATAAATTAATACCAGAGACACATTCATCAAAGTTAGGAAAACTAGACAGGGGATTAATACCACAATCATCTCAACATTATTATAGAAATGTTAGCCAATGTGACAAGGGGGTGGGGGAATGAGGAATAAACACTGGAAAATATTAAAAATTGAAAAGTGTCATTTTTGGATGATATAACTATTCACAAAGGAAACTAAGCAAATCAACTGAAAAACAATAAATAAGAGTTTGGCAAGATGACTGAATATAAAACAAACATACAAAAATCAATAGCTACCCCATATACAAACAATTTCTTATTATCAGAATATGTAATGGAAGAAAAAACAGGTTCAAATTATTTAAAAATCTATAAAAAAGAAATAAGTTTAGAAATAAACTTAAGAAATATGGCAGTTACATATAAAGGAAAACCACAGCTTTCCTGACAGACATAAAACATGACCTACACAGTGACACTATGCTCCTGCATTCAAATTTTACAGATGTCAAATTTTTCTAAAAACCAATGCTTAAGGCTTTTTGTTTACTTTTGGTTTTCTTTTTTTTCTGCAAGAGAGTGTGTAATGGTGGTACAGTGAACAGAGAGGTTAACTTTTACTTTCTTTTGGGGGATTGTTTTTGTGTAATTTCGCACATTAATTCTGAGGTTCACTTGGAGAAATAATCAAGATTAGCCACATAAATTTTGATAAAGAACAGCAGGGAAACTTGACTACAGTTATTAAAACATACTACAAAACAACAACTATACTGGTATAATACCGGTACATGAGCAGACCAATTAATCAGTGGCACAGAAACAGACCCCTCTAACATGGAAATACAATTTGCGATTAAAGTGTATTTCAGATTAGTGGAAACTTATTAACAAGAGAATAGGATATTTGAGTATTAGAAGAAAGGGAAAAGTAGATTGCGTCCTTATACATAAAAATTACAAGAAAACAGAAACAAATACTTTTATGACATTCTAATGGTGAAGGACTTTTTAAACATGACATTAAAAATACAAACCATATAGGAACATCTTAGAATAACACAAAACCAGTACGACATAAAGGAAAAACACTGATAAATTTGACTCCAATTTTTTTTTTACCCGAATGGCAAAAGTCAACATAATATTAAGAGATAAAATTACAAACAGGCAAAAATGTTTACCATATAAATAACAATGAGTTAACAATCTTAAAAAATAATGTGTTCCTACTCATTAGGAAGAAAAAAACAAATACTCTAATAAATAAATGGCAAAGAGCCTAAATAAGTACTAAGAGAAATCCAAAGGCAACTAACTTAAGATGTTCAAGAACACTAATGAAGAAATGCAAGGTAAAACAAGGCAGTTGTCTCACTGACAAAGACTATAATGTTAAACTTTAATATTAAAGGAGGGTATGCAGAAACTGGGACCTACCAACTGCTGATAATCCGCTAGCAATTACATGATGACGTTTTAAAGCAAGCATATACTCTGACTAGGGAATTACAGTTTGGAAATTTATCCAAAGGAAAAGAAATGTCTAAGTACAGATATATATAGAAGATCATTCGTTACATGGGGTGCCTGGGTGGCTCAGTGGGTTGGGTCTCTGCCTTTGGCTCAGGTCATGATCTCAGGGTCCTGGGATCGAGTCCCCACATGGGGCTCTCTGCTCAGCGGGGAGCCTGCTTCCCCTTCCCTCTCTCTGCCTGCCTCTCTGCCTACTTGTGATCTCTGTCAAATAAGTAAATAAATTAAAAAAAAGTCTTTAAGTTCATTACAGCACTGTTTATAGGACACAAAAATGTTTATGGGTATTGTTAAATAAACAAAGAAATGAAATCTATTATATTAACGTACATGGATACGCTATGCCCACTAAACTCCTTAATAATAGTTTTTCTGGAGGAGACTTTCTATTTTAACACTTCTGAGTTGTACTTTCATTCATAGTCAGCATGTATCCCTTCATCAGGAAAAACCACTTAACATTTTCATTTTAGAAAATAAAAGTAAGGGGCGCCTGGGTGGCTCAGTGGGTTAAGCCTTTGCCTTCGGCTCAAGTCATGATCTCAGGGTTTTGGGATCAAGCCCCACATTGGGCTCTCTGCCAGGCAGGGAGCATGCTTCCCCTTCTCTTTTTTTGCCTACTTGTGATCTGTCAAATAAATAAATAAAATCTTTAAAAAAAGAAAAGTAAAATAAACTAACCAAAATGATCCCGACAAAGGAATTTAGTTTTTTAGTTTGTAAGCAGAATCCACCTCCTTGAGACCAAAACTCCTACCCAAATCAAATGCAATTATTTAAATTCAGGCTCCAAAGTGCTCCTGATACCCAATCACAACAGTATCTGCACTACTTGGGAGATTGTATCTCTGAAGTTGCAATACTAAAATTAGTTATTCTGTTATGTAAATACTCAGTAAATATTTGCCAAGGGCTGAAAGATTTTTGAGTATTTCTGGAAATACAGCAGGCTAGGATATTTGAACTAAACTTCCCTTAGAAAATAATAAAAATAGAAAAAAAGATACTAAGAGCACTGAAGAGTTGATAAAATAGTAGGGATCTGCTAGGGCAAAATCTAAGGAAAATTAGGAACACAAGACACATAAATGAAGCACCAAAGTCAGATTTGCCCTAAGGGTACTTGCAGATCTTAAATTTCCGTTTCCAGGGCACATGGTGCCAAGCAGATAATCACAGGCCAAACAAAATCCACTGGGGGCAGAGGGTTCAACAGGAAACCCTTCGCACTTCAAGCTTTCAGGGCTTCCCAAGGGTTAGACTCTCAGGGAAAATGTAAACCAGAAGAAAAACTTCCTCCAACCCTCAGGGAACTACAAGGAAGTCGCCTTGGCAATGCAGGAGGCAGGAGCTCCCTTGAGAAATGTTAACACAATCCAGATCAATACTGAATGGGTGGATGAAACAAACAAACAAAATCAAACAAACAAAATGTGTGCCATGAATTCAGTAGTTGAAAGGAGTACTGGACGGGTGAGAGCTCTAGGCACTTGGAAGAAGCAAATAAAAAGTTTCCCTGGAGGAACACATCTTTGTCTTAGATCTCAAAGAAATTTCACAAATAATTTTTCAGGAACAATGAGCAGCACACAATAAAAAAAAATAAGCACAAAAGAAATAAAGCAAGGAGCAACAGCTAGGAAAAACAAACAGATCCATAAAAGAGACAACAAACAGGTTCATAAAAACTTTGAGTGCCAGAATTATCAAACAGATTATAAAACAAAGTCTACTAGATTACACAAAAGTAGTAAGAGAAGACAAGCTTGAAAATATCAGCAGGGAACATCAAATAACAAAAATTAAGAATTTAGTGGAGTTAACAGCAAACCAGATACAACAAAACAGAGATCTGGGAACTGAAAGGCAAGAAACTATACAGAATGGAGCATATGGAAATAAAAAGAAAATAGAAAAAAGAAGTTAAAAGCCATGGTGATGAGGTGAGATGGTCTAACACAAAATTAACTGGAATTTTATAGGAAGAAGAAAAAGAGAACAGGGCAGAAATAATATGTGAAGAGACAATGGCTAATTATTATCCAGAACTGGTATAAGACCCAACAAAGCAGCCCAACAAATCACAAGCAACAGAAGTAAAAGGACACATCATAGTGAAACTACAGAGCACCACAGAGAGGGATTTTTAAAGCAGCTGGAGGGGGGAACCCAGATACTTTCATAGAAATAAGAAGTAAAGGAATATTGTTTTTTCAATAGTAACAATGGGAGCCAGAAGATGGTAATAATACATCCAGTTGTTAAGAGGAAAAAAAAAATGCAAAACTAATACACACAGCAAAAATATCTTTCAAGAATAAAAGCAAAATAAAGTTATTTAAGCAAAGAAAAACCTAGAGAGTTAAGTCCCCAGCAGATACATATAAAAGAATACTAAAGGAGTACTTCAAGTAGAGGGAAAGTGATCCTAGGTGGAAGGTGTGTAAGATGCAAAAAGGAAAGAAATACGAAGAAAGAGGTAAAGGAACACTGATAGCATAAAATAACGATGTTGTATGAGGCTAAAACAAAAACAAAAACAAAATGCAAATATAAACCACCCAACACCAAGTTAGTAGCAAGTAAATGGAGTTAATGTTCTGACCTCATCCTTTCTTGGAGAGGATAAAGATACTATTAACATCAAAGAAAAAAAAGATACTATTAACATCAAACCTGGGCAAACTGAAGATACATGTGGCAATTTCTAAGAGAAATAGGGAACAGAACCTAGCTACTAGTGGAGGATGAAGATACAAAATGATTTCCACCGCTCCCCCAAAACACCCGACCCAAATAAAAGCAAGAAATGAAAGAAAAAGGAACAGAGAACATGCAGGATTTAAGTAGAGAACACATTAAAAGATGGTATATTTAAACCCAATATAATGATAATTAAATGCAAATAAAATAAATACAAAAGTTAAAAAACTACTTTAGACTGAATAAACAAAATATTCAACTATGTATTTTTCAGGTATATTGAAAACATAATAATGAAAAGCTGATAGTATAAAAATGGAAATACGTATACCATACAGTAATTTGGATATACTGAATATCAGATATAATGCATTTAGAGTGAAAAGCATTGCAAGAGATAAAGAGAGTCACTTAATGCACCAAGCAAAAACATAAATACAGGAAGAAACAAACACCTCCTACAACCATGAGAGATATGAATATGCTTCTCTTAGTAATTGCTAGAGCAAACAGCCCAAAATCAGAATACAGAAAATGTAAACACTGTGATTAAATGCCACGATTAACAAACTGACTTAATGACAAAATGAAACTATTTTGTTTAGGGATGCATACATGGTCAGATTTTAAGAAATGGATCATTATAATCACAAAAATTAGAACAGCGGTTGTTTCCAGGGTAGAGAGGGAGAGAGTTGTAATCTCAGAAGAGCACACAGGTTTCTAGGGTACTGGAAATATTCTACTTCTTGACCGAAGTAACAATTACATAGAGTTAACTTTATAATGATTTCCTGGAAATGTCTTCTTGTGAAGGGCCAGACAAATATCTCAGGCTTTTCAGGCCATATATCATGTCTGTGATATATTCTTCTTTGTCTCTACAACTCTTTAAAAATCTAAAAGTCATTCTTAGCTTGTGAGCTGTGGGATATAGTTTACCAAACTCCTGCATTAAAAGACTTACGTTTTAGGTCCTTCTTTGTTTTCAACAAAAAATACAGAAGAACCACTTAGGGTAAAAAAAAGCTAAAGTAATTCTTTATCCACTGATTGTTCCTTTCAACAGGTCTGAACATCTACCGTTTGTGCCAAGCAATGTTTTGGGCGTTGGAGATTGAAAATTGAACAAGATATTATTAGCTTTTCATGTCAAGTCAAGGAAATAGTAAAAAAGAAAATTATACCTTTATATAGTTAAGTACTGAGAAAACAGAAACAGCAATAAACAACAAAGCCAAGTCCCTGCTCTCGTGGGATTAACATTAGTGGAAGAATATGGGGAAGAGATTAACCATAAAGTTAAAAATTAAAATGTTATTAAATAAAAATATTAAAAATTATACCACACACCAATGACAGTGAATGGTCTACAACAACATAAAACAATACAGATGCATCTCACAGAAGAATGCTGAATGAAAGAAGCCAGACATCAGATTACATACTGTATGATTCCTTTCATACAAAGTACGAAAACAGAAAAAACATCTATGCTGTTAGACGTCAGGATAATGCCTATCCACAATGGCAGGGAGGGGGCTAATAACGGGCAGGGAGCATAAGGGGAGGGGGAGTTGGTAATTTTTCTTTCTTGTGTTGAAATATTTTGAACACTTTCATTGGTTTAAAAGTTAAGAAAAACAGGGGCACCTGGCTGGCTCAGCCAGTGGAGAATGCAACTCTTGATCTTTGGGGTTGTAAGCTTGAGCCCCACGTTGGGTGTACAGATCACTTAAAATATTTTTTTAATTGTATAAATAAATAAATATCAAGGAAAAATAAAGACACAAGTCTCCTTGACAGTTATTTAAAAACCCTCAACCTAACCAAACAGTTCTACACATCAAATATTTCTAACATGTTTAAATATGACAAGGATGATAAAATAATAGCCAAATTCTTGAGGTGAATACCTTTTTCTAAGCGCTTTAATAACTGTAGTCACCCTAATGAATGCAAGACTTTCTGGGACAGAAGGGAAGAAGTGCATTCTCACCACTTTAATGCAGCAGACCCAATCACTTACGGAAAGAGCACTATGACCCAGCTCTGCTGAGGCAGCAGAGTCAAACAACATTCCTAAAAAGAGACACCTAGCACAAAAACTGATTTCAGGGAGACCCCTCTTCCCTAAGATCCCAAAGCAACACATGAGGCATTAGCAGCCAGAACATACTCTTGAGTACAAAGATCTTGTATTGTCTCAACAAATTATCCCAAGACTCTCAAGTAAATTCACACAAAATCCCATATTCACCAGCTAGCTCAGGGAGTCGCCATTTTGGGACCAGTGACATCTGGAGCAGGTAACTGTGCTGTGGGGCCTGTTGCGTCCCTTGTAAGATGCTGACCAGCATTTCTGGCCTCCGCCTACTAGATGCCCACAGCTCCCTCCTCTGACCCTCTAGTTGTGATAAAAAATTACTCTAACATTGCCCAAAGTCCCCTGAGAGGCAAAACTATCCCCAGCTGAGAACCACTAACTTGGCTAAAATGTTTTTTAGGGCTTTCAATTCTTACTTAGTGGAAGGAAAATGGGGTGGGGTGGGGGCCTGGTTGACTCAGGTGGTAGAGCCTGCGACTTCTGATCTCAGGGTTGTGACTTCAAGCCCCACACTGGGTACAGAGATTATTTAAAAATAAAAAATCTTAAAAAAAAAAAAAAAAGGAAACAAAATATCTCAAATTTGCGTAACATTAGCTTCTCCACCACATCGCGGAGAAAACCTTGAAAATCAATCAAATGCCAGGAGCTGACCAAACATTTAAAAAAAAAAAAACAACAAAAAACCAGAACTCATTTATAGGAACATGTAAGCTTGGCAAGGATAAAAACCTAATATTTGAACTGGCAATTATTTCCTCGACAGGACCCTGAGCCGTAGGCTTAGAGGTAACTTATACTGAGAAACAGGGTTAGCTCTTGTAAAACATAAATTTATGGATACAGACTTGAATCTAAGTGGTTCACAGGTAATACTATGAATGTTTCTCCTTAATGCCTCATTCCCCTTGGGTAATTAATGGAAGAGAAACTGCTTGAGTGTTCCTGGGCTTCTCGTCTCCTACAACAGGTGTCACATTTCTCCAGGTGAATGCTTACCGGTAAGGGATTGGATAAGGAATGTTGCGGTGAGGATCGTGCAACTGGTGGAACACTTCTGCCAGGGCTGGTTCCTGGCCCGCTTCCCCCAGCAAACTGGCCAACAGGGAGAAATGGATATGAATAATTCAAAACAGTACTATGCTTCAGATAAGGAGAGTAAAAGATTAACACACAAATAGGTCTTAATTATACGGCCCCTTTAATAAGTCAATACATCTTATGCTAAAGAGAAAATGCCATATAAGTCAAATTTTGCTATCTTCTCAGTAAGTTTTAAGAAGGAGCTCCCGCAGAAATGTACAAGATATAAAAGAATACATGGCTAGAAAGCTGAAGGTACACATGGTTTTGAAAGGACATCGGAGAAGAATGTTTTCCCTTCTTGTCTCAAAATACCCGAAAGCAGGAATACAGCGGTATAGTGGATGTTAGTGTCTTCTTTAGGAACCACTAACGATGATGGGTCAGTAAACTCGCTACGTGACCCACTGAACTAAAGGGAAGAGGACAAAAGAAGAGTCCAAGTCACTCCACTTCAATCTTTGTAAGACCCGAAACCTAGTCTGGCCAAGAGAAAAACCACCTCATTTGTGAATTTTTATATCATCACAGACAAGACACATCATAAAAAAATTTAAATTTAGGAAGTCAGTAGTAGTTTCCTCTTAATAGAGAGAGATGGGGCAACATCAGATTGATGAAGATGGGAAGGAAGGGGAAGAGAGCACAGTAAAGGCAAAATATTGCTTTCTAAAGCCTTAAATGAACGCAAGGATTTAGTTTTTTAAAAATCACTATAGATTTTTTTTCCAAAAATTTAACTTACCTCAAAGTAATCACTAATTTTATGTCCCCTAGGAGTGCCTTTCCCTGAAAATGAAACCAAAGTAAGTACAGTTTTTCCAATAACATACGTAAACCATCATTCACTAAAAAGCACTACGTATTCAGTAACTGCATATGTTATCTTCAGTTCAAGTGTTGGCTTTACTTTTGACAAGCGAAATTACCTGTACTGTAAGAACAGAGACAGTTTCCTCATCTAATAAAAGACTTAATAAGCAGTGAAAAGGAAGACTTTTTCTGAGATTGCTTTCCTTTAAGATTTGCTCATCTTTCTTTTATAACATACTAACAAAACCTATGCCACAACTGTGAATCAAAACAGAACTAATTTACGTCCATGCCTTCAATTAAGAGAACAAAGAATTCAAAACAAACTCCTAAGAACTAGAGGGTTTATTCTGTATCACAAAAAACTTTGTGGCCATGTCATTTTGGGAGAATTTTCCCCTCAAAAGTAAAAAATAATTTGTAGATAAAAAACAAGAAAAATGCAAAAAAGACTGTGACTTCCATTCCTCAGAGGGGGCAGGTGGACAAAGCAACCATTTACTCACTCCTTAAGCATATAAGGATATTTGGCATCATAACCATCAATATTTAGAGATTTATCCCACTGGGTGCCAATGTTCAACTAAATAACTGCCAGAGAAGAAGAGGAGGGAGAAAGAACAGTCATGTAAATAAAACCATTTCTGGTTACCTATTATTAACAAATCGCTGAGCTAATGCAAGATATGGTTAAAATGCCAATGTAACCTCTTTTCTGTATAACACACGCTTAGTCTGAAGAAAAAGCTGTGGTGAGAAGATCTAATGATCTTACGACAGGGAAAACGAGAGTCTCCAGGGAACTGACACTTTTGTCAGGTGTGTATCAAATGACAAGTCTATAATAAACAGCCTGGTATTCCCTTAAGGTACACAAATCTCCTTTGTTAGGAATCCCTGTATCTGAACTAATTATTTACTGTTGAGTCTGAAAATTCTAAGTACATAAGAATTTAGTATTTTTATTGGTGTGAAATTATTACTACCTTGGCTAGTTTCATATGGTTCAGCTTTTCTTTTCCGGTTTCGCTGGTCATTCTGTTTTTTCTCAGGAGTCTGTTAAATACCATATACATCACAATTAGCATTTTGTTAAAATTTTCACATTATGAAAATCAGAGAGTATGTACAAAATAATAAGGAGATAAAAGGCACAGGCAAGTCCTAAATCGGTGTGTCCTGGAGTTATGCAGTGCCATCTTTCAACCCAGACTGAAAGTGTGGGAGTATGTAAAGTCTCACAGTGGATGTGGCCTCTTACCTCTACTTCTTTATCACTCAAGGACCCCACGCTGCACAAGCTCTGGTTGGAAGACTCACTATTGAGTGGCCCCTGGAAAGGAAAAAAAAAAAAAAAAAAAAAGGGAATCAAAAGAAACTAATTTAAGATGACAGCAAAACTGAGGAAGAAGGCTGCTGATTCTGATGTGTAAGTCAGATCAAAGAAATCAAGAATTAACTGTAACACCTCCAAGCCAACTTGAAAAGATTCAATCAGCTATACTACGGTGCCCTCAAGTCAAAATTCCCTTGACTCAGTGTGTAGAGCATGCAACAGTGATCTTAGGGTTGCAGGTTCAAGCCCCATAGGGCTGTAGAGATTATTTAAGAATAAAATCTTGAAGGGGCGCCTGGGTGGTTCAGTTGGTTAAGCGGTTGTCTTCAGGTCGGGTTATGATCTCGGGATGAAGCCCAGAGTTGGGCTCCCTGCTCAGCACTGAGTCTGCTTCTTCCTCCCCTTTTGCCCCTCCTCCTGTTCATTTGTTCTCTCTCTCTCTCAAATAAATAGGTGAAAAAAAAAAAAAGTTAAAAAAAAGGAATAAAATCTTTAAAAAGAAAATTCTTTTAGTTACTACTATTTTCCTTCACCAACTCTGTAGTCATACACAAATTTTCCCTTCTAGAGTACTTCCACATGTAGGGAACTCATTTTTTAAGGAAAATAAGCAGGGAAAACAAATTCTCTTGGCCTCCTATATCATACAGGCATCATGTGAAAGTTGATACATTAAGAAGCATGTTAAGGGTTTCTTATGAAGAGTGGTCAGGGACCATAATGAAGGAAATGCTTTTCTGAGTCATACTTCAAGGAGACATGACCACTAGTTCAAAAAAACAAAATACAAGAGATTGATTCCTAGCCTCACAGTACAAGGCACTCTCTGGCCCTGCTCCTCAGTGAAACTGGTAAAAATTATTTTAAAAAAACAACCATTCACAGCTCTGGAAATGGTCCCTGAGGGGAAACAGTAAACGAAGAAAACAACCACTCAATAAAATCTATGAAAATTCAGACTGAAAGGTCAGAGTCTGTGGTATTTGAACCGAGACCAATCTCACTCCTCCCCTCTCCCATCTTCATCTCAGCAAGGTTCCAGTTCTTGCAGTGGCCAAGAACACACGGCTCCCTCTTCCCCCAGCTCTCAGTCCAAGAGCTTTCTTCCTGCAAGGAGCAGGACTGTCTCCAGCCCAGTGCTGCTGATACTAAGTCCCAGACAAATACATCAAAAGCAGGGGATCCCATGAACAAACCCCACTTGTGGGACAGAGACTATACCTCAGGTGTGGCATACTGAGAATGGCAGCAGGGCCCAAACAGCTATTCTGCCCAGCTCATGAGACGGTGGTATTTCCACTCCAGGAGAAGCAAGCCGCTGCACGCACCCCACTCTCACCCTATTCCCATCCCTCACCCCCCATTCACTCGGCTTCCAGATCCAGAATGCTACTCAGAAAAGACGGCCATTGTCCCCATCCCCGGCTCCAGAATCCTCAGATAATTTTGCCTCAGGAAAAAAGGCAAGAACACATGCTACCAAATCTCTTCCCAAAAGATTTGACTTTATTCCCCAAAAGAGCGTGGATAAGTTGAACTCTAAGGGTATACTCAAGAACAGTGAAAGTTGTCGTGAAAGGCAAGTGGAAGATCTGTGGAGGTACTGACCATACAGCCTGGACCTCAAGCCAGCTAGTTTGCAGAAGAGAACCCAAGAATAAGACATTTGCGAGAAGTCCTCCTGGGGTCCGAACAAATAGCAAACACTAACCTCAGAAACCCTTCCTTCCAAGGAGCCCCAATTTGATCTGATTAGTCTGCAGAGGAATTTAAACCTCAGGGTACTGTTGAAAACAATATAGCAATCTGGGCAATTAGTGGACTCTAACAGCTGGATTGGTCAGGGAAAGAAAGCCTTACTGGTGCCAGACATCTCGGGGTGACTACCGACTTTAAGCTGGGTCTCCCTAAAGCCACCACCAGACGGTTGATGCTGAAGGGATGGGAAGAAAGAAAAGAATGCTAAAATAATCCCGTCACTAAGCACATAAACAGGCAAATAGCAGTAACAAGTCCCAAGACTGCTAAGAAAAATCAGTACCCAGAGCTGGTACAATATATCATCCAAAATGACCAGTTTCCAACAAAAAATCATGAGGCGTGCAAAGAAATAGAAATGTATGACACACATAACAGGAAAAAAAAAATTAGGCAAAAGAAACTGCCCGTGAGAGGGGCCAGATGTTGAGTTTAACAGAAAAATATTTCAAAACAGCCATTATAAATATGTTCACAGAGCCAAAGGAAACCAAAATTAAAGTAGTAAAGAAAGGTGTGAAAGACAATGTTGCATCAAACAGAGAATATCAACAGAAACACAGAAATTATATATAATTTTTAAAAGGAATTCTGGAGTTGAAAAATCACTGAAATAAAAAACGGGGGTGCCTGGGTGGCGCAACCAGTTGGGCACCGGACTCTTGATTCTGACTCAGATTGTGATCTCAGGGTCCTGAGATCAAGCCCCATATTGGGTTCTGTGCGCAGCACGGAGTCTACTTGGGATTCTCTCTCCCTTTCCCTCTGCCCCTTCCGCTCCTCATGGGCGCATGCAGGTAGGTGCTTGCTCTCTCTCTCTCTCTCAAATAAATAATTGTATTTTTTTTAAATGCACGAGTGAGGCTCAAGAGTAGAAATGAAGTGTCAGAAGAAATAATTAGCAAATCTGAAGGTAGATCAATAGAAATTATGCAAGCTGAAAAACAGAGAGAAAATTGAAGAAAAAACAAACAGCTTCAGAGAAATGCATATAACTGGGGTACCAGAGAGAGAGGAGAGCAGAAAAGAGCAGAAAAAAAAAAATTCAAAGAAATAAAGGCTGAAAACTTCTCAAATTTATTGAAAAGCATTAACTTACTCAATCCAGACAGCTTAATGAATTCCAAGCAGGATAAACAAAAAGAGACCCACAGATAGACACATCACAGGAAAAATGCTCAAAGGCAAAGACAGGAGAAAATCTTGAAAATAGAAATAAAATGCATCATTTACAAGGGAATCCCAATAAAATTTAACAGTTGACTTCTGAGCAAAAACAATTTAAAAAATGGGCAAAAGATCTGAACAGACATTTCTCCAAAAACTATATACAAATGGTCGATAACCACATGAAAAGTTCAACATCATGTGCTAATGGGAAAATACAAATCAGAACCAAAAAGAGACACCACTTCACACCTACTAGGATGGCTGTATCAACGAAGACAGTAAGAAAGTGCTAGCAGGGGCGCCTGGGTGGCTCAGTGGGTTAAAGCCCCTGCCTTCCGCTCTGGTCACAATCCCATGGTCCTGGGATCGAGCCCCACATCGGGCTCTCTGCTCGGCAGGGAGCCTGCTTCCTCCTCTCTCTGCCTGCCTCTCTGCCTACTTGTGATCTCTGTCTGTCAAATAAATAAATAAATAAAACTTAAAAAAAAAAAAAGTGCTACCAGTGAACACTAAGAAATGTAAAGATTTGCTGAATCATTATATTATACACCTGAAACTAATATAACAGTGTGCTAATTATACTTGATTTTTTAAAAAGTGCTGGCAAGAATGTGTAGAAACTGGAACCCTCATCTATTGCTGGTGGAACATAAAATGGTGCAGCTGCTTTCAAAAACAAGCAGTTCCTCAAACAGTTAAACACAGTAACTGTATGACCCAGAATGCTAATCCTTGGTATACAATGAAGAGAAATGAATATATACAAAAACTTGGGACACGAATGAATAGCAGCATTATTCACAAAAGCCAAAAAGGTAGAAACAATCCAAATATCCAAATGATAAATGGATAAACAAAATGTGGTATATTCATACAATGGAATATTATTTGGCCATAAAAAAATCAAGCACTGATACATGCTGCAGTATAGATGAACCAAAAAACATTTGCTAAGTAAAAAAAGTCACAACAGAGCACATATCAAATGATTCCATTCATATGAAAATCTAGACTAAAGAAAGCTAAGTCAGAAAGAAAATTAATGGTTGCTTAGGGTCTGGTGGGAGGAGAGGGGAATGTGGGTGACAGCTAAAGAATATGGGGTTTGCGGGCACCTCAGTGGCTCAGTGGGCTGAGCCTCTGCCTTCGGCTCGGGTCATGTTCTCAGGGTCCTGGGATCGAGCTCCACATCAGGCTCCCTGATCAGCAGGAAGCCTGCTTCTCCCTCTCTCATTCCCTAGCTTGTGTTCCCTCTCTCGCTGTCTCTCTCTCTCTCCGTCAAATAAATAAATAAGAATCTTTAAAAAAAAAAATATATATATATATGGGGTGGGGTTTGATGATAAAAATGTTCTAAAACTATGCTGATAGTTGCATGTATCCATGAATATACTCAAAAAACAATGGTCACTGATACGCAGAATTTGAGGAACAGGGCAGAAGAACACAGGGGAAGAGAAGAAAAAAATCAAACAAGACAAAAGCAGAGAGGGAGACAAACCATAAGAGACTCTTAATCTCAGGAAATAAACTGAGGGTTGCTGGAGGGGAGGGGGGTGAGAGGGATGCGGTGGCTGGGTGATGGGACACTGGGGAGGGTATGTGCTATAGTGGGTGCTGTGAATTGTGTAAGACTGATGAATCACAAACCTGTACCCCTGAAACAAATAATACATTTTATGTTAATAAAAAAAATGAACTGCACATTTTAAAAGGGGTAAATTGCACAGTCAACGAATTATATCTCGATAAAGCTGTTAAAAAACAACAGTTACTAGGTTTAGTTCAGAAACAATTTGCATTCCTACTAGGGTATATTAAGTATTCCTTTCACCATATTCTTAAAGCACTACTTTTAAAGTATAATTAACACACAGTAACGGCTTCATAGTGAGATACTTGTGAAGCTGCAAAGGAAAATAATAAAGTGAGGGGGTCCTGGGTGGCTCAGTTGGTTAAGCATCTGCCTTCTGCTCATGTCATGATCTCAAGGTCCTGGGATCAAGCCCCACATCTGGCTCCCTCTTCACCCTCTCCCTCTGCCATTCCCCCTGCTTGTGCTCTGTCAA